TCGGTGAGAAAACATTAGAAACATGAGTAATAAATCTATGTCACATTTGTGTCGACTAAACGAATCTGGCACCGCTAACGATCAATGATAAAAATCAAAGACAAGATCCTACGTTAGAATAGGTTTTCACTACATAACAAAAACTTATCACTCACATTTCTTTTGTTAAAATCCGGAAAATCCAAACTATTCAATAAAATCTTTTTGTAAAATCAGTTTTAAAAATTCGAAAACATCATTGAAATAAAAAAAAAATTTTGAGCAAAAGATCATGAGAGCATGAAAAGATAAAAATTTTAATTTAGTGAGAGGCTTTTATAATAAAAAAAAAATAACTTGTACCAAATCTTCAAGGTAAATTGACCATGACATGTGATTAGACTTGCAACGTATCTTCTTTAACTTGCGCCAGTGGAGACTATTTCTTTGAATATATATGCTTCTTAATTGCTACATAAACAAATATGTTTTGATGAATTTAGAACAACAAAAAAAAACGAAAACATTATTGTAGTTCATAGATCATAGTTTATAATGCCAAAATACCAAAGGAGTTGTATTCAAACTTACATCGATCTCTAATCTCTTTGTTGGGTTTGTTGTGTCTAAAGCTTCCACTTGATTAAAAATTTTGAACATCTGTAAACGAAAAAAATCACAATTGAATTAGTCATCTTGTAAACGTAAACAAATATGTTATAATGAATTTAGAACAACAAAAAGCAAAACGAAACACATCATGATTGAGAAAGATTCAGTTTTCTGGATACTTACTTATCAAGTAACGAATCTTGTTGGAATGAAGAAAAGAAAGATGAGAACAAGAGATATTAAGCGAGAGATACAATTTGTAGTTTTTTTTTGTTTGGCCAATGCAAACAAACCGAATGATATATATTTATAGAATAAAATCTAGCCGTTACCGTTTGAAAAATTACGCTTAACAGCTAGTTTGTATAAACAGTATAAGAAATTAACTATGACAAGACCTCTTGCAGTCGCATAGTTGCATTGAACAGTAGAAGAAAACTAAGCTTTATTACGACACTTGTCAACTTTGACGTAATAATATTATTACAACGTCGCTTAAACTCTCTTTCACATGAGGCCCAATGGGCATATTGGATCTAAAAGTATCTTTGTATTTTATAAAAAAAAAGTGTACATTGTTGCTATTACAACGTAGAAGTTATAATGTAAGCTTTTGTTGGCCCAAAAGTTTGTATAAACCAAATGTTGCTTTTTAATTTAAAAGAGATAACTCATAAAGATTTAGATATGCGTGAGACATCTAATATTAAGTCGATCATCCGTAAAACACAAGCGTACAAGTTACAACGAATAAAATATACTTTTCGTTATTAAATATTTAGAACCCCCATTAATGAATATTACAATTTTTGTTCACCCATTTACATGCATAGATATCCACATACACATGCAAACACATCACACATGCAAGTGTATATGGACATATTAAATTTTGATGTAATTGAGAACATTATAAAAATGCAAAAGAACATTAAATAATGGAAGGTGTGAAAGAAGAGATAATTAAGAGAAAATGAGCAAATATTAAAAGCTCAACAACACCCAACCAACTCTTCTTCTTATTTCCTCCATTACTCTTTACTGATTCAGCTTTCCCTCCTGGCCCATCTTTATAGAAATTTATAGAATCAGTAATTATATATATGATCATGGCATTAGATTAATGCTGTGATTAGGTAGTAAATTTGAGAAAAAATAGATGGACTAATTAACTTCGATTACCTTTAAGATTTTTTGAAGTAGATGTGGAATTGGTGTTTCCTTCAAGCTTTCCTAAGCTCTCAAACTCTTTAGCCAATGTTGAGTTTGGAGGTATATGCAGAATCGCTTTTCCCATAAAATCAAATGCAAAAGAAACAGTTAGCAAAAAAACTTTCTAAGAATTTTAAATTAATACAATAACTTTTAAACAAATATCAAATATTATTAAATACTGTCATTTTCATATGTAACAACTAAAATGGAGATTATATCGTAATCTTTATGTTAAAACTTATATTGCATTCAAAATTAGAGTAAATAGCTAAAAAAAAGAAGAAGAATAGAAATCGTACATACACTAACTACAACTGTCTAAATGAGTACATGTTAAAGAGTATTTCACAAAATTTTACTATATATAAACTATAGATATACCGTCCTTTTGTATAACAACTAACATGAAGAATTCTTCATGAAATAATTCATACTAAAACTATAAAGTATTGTACTATGGATTACGTACCTAGTATATGTCATCTCCAAAATTAGATTAAAATCTAAATAGTTTGAAAAAAGAGAAAAATACATAAAACTTTTCCGTAAAAACTTATAAACTTCAAGAATGATATGTTATATCATATCT